AATAATAATGATGTTTAGTTATACATGTTGCAAATGTCTTATATAGTTTATGAGCTTTTGCTCTCTTAATAGTATCTTTTGATAAACAAAGTTTTGGTTGTAATATAGTTGAATTCATCAATCTTCCTAAAGAAAATAGTTTGTATTTTGTTTTTGGAGAGGTTTCTGCTATCATGCGCCTGCGCTCGCCAGAAAGAGAGAGACAGAAAGCGAAAAATCATCTCCCGAGGGAGGATGGCCACACCACAATCCCTTCTCCTCCATTCTCTTCTCGGGATCTTGGGCATGCATGCACATGCGCCCAAGGTTCAATTCCTGAGTTTAAGCCACCGGGTCCGAGTCCGGGACTCGAACCGCAGTCGACTATATGGGAGTCCAGCAACATAGCCATTACGCCAACTGCAGGTCCCAAGTTTGCATTTTTTAATGTCTATTACAAGAAAGGTTTCCTTGCCCTTAGTTCATAAAAATACTCTCCTATATATTTCTTTTTAAACGTCTTAATGTATTGCATTCCACCTTTAAGCCCTCATGTATTGGGAATAGCATTGATTTCATCATCTTATTATGTATAACAAATTGTTCCCAAAGTATTTATCGAACAGTTCCATCTGTTACCAGCAATATTCAGTGCCGTCCAATCATATGCCCAGTTTTCGTATATGAAGTCTTTCTCTTTTTTATTAGCCTGTTGGTCTATCCATTGACTGGTAATGTACTCTTCTAATTATTCAGAATTTACACCTTGATACCTAGTAGAACAAATGTCACTTGACTGTTCTTGTGTTTTCACTCTTGTTTATATATTTTGGAATGAAATTGTCAAGTTTCTTGGAAAATGTTTTTCCAATTTTGTCAGTTTGTAGAGAGTTAATATAGTTTCTTAATTGCATGTTCCTCTGTAGAAATGTGTTAATTAATTAATTTATTTAGGTCACATTCAATTACTCTGAATAATCTTTTATTATTTTTTTCTACAAAGGTTTTCACATATTTTATTAGATTTATTCCTAATTTGCATTTTTAGTAGGCATTCCTTCTTCAGATTTAAAATAGACCTAATTTAAAATAAGATGCTTCTAACATTTCTCTGTAAAAAATGCTATTTGCTGTCTTTTTTGGGGGGGGGCAAGAATGTGATAAGAATGTGAATTGGTGTAATTCTTATCGACTGACCATTTTTACTAACTGCAGTTCAAATCCTGCCTCCAGCACCCTGAGAAACATATATGCTGGTGTGCCTCAATCCTCATGGGATGGAGAAATGGAGGAAGGGAATTATGGAAGGACTATGCCCCACTGGGGAGTACTTTCGCACTCTCTTTCTCCTTCCCACCACCCTCACCCTCTCTGCCAAGCACACGTATTCTCTGGCTATCATTTTTTTTTTTTTTTCTTGAAGAGGTGGTGGGAAAAAGCTAAATTGGAGCCAAAGGAGAAACAAATATATCCAACTGAATTACAAATGAATAATATAACCACACTGAAGAGAGGGGTAATTCATCTAAGTAACTTTTGAAAACAGCAATGTTGTTTCTATCTTTTTAGACTATGAAAAAAAAAAAACTTTAAAAACTATTAGGCTTGATTTCCACATGGTATGGAGTTTGTAATTCTAAAACTCTTTCTATGTATTCCAGGATGGAGCAACTTAGTAATTGTACTGTGGAACTGATGTCTCACGCTTGGGGAGGAGAGTTACAAAGTGGGAAGATAGAAGGATATAATGAAATCTATGGTGATAGACTTGAATTGGAGGAATTGGGGTTAATTCATGACTCATAAATACAGATAGAAATAAGCTTAAATGGACGTAAGGATGGATGTGATACATACGAGGGCTCTTCAAAAAGTTGGCTGGAAATGTATGTTATGAAAAAACTATGAATGGGCTTCAAATGTTTTTGCACCAGGATACTCATACTTTGATTCTATTTTCTGTGAACTTTTTGAAGTTCCCCCACATAGTTCCTTGTTCTGTCTGCTGAGAGAGTGTAAAAGCAATGGCATTACGGTAACAGCAAAGACAGTAAGGCTCCTAGTGTTTTGTTTTGTTTTGTTTTTGAGAGATTTTTGTTACAGGGTGCATTCGCTGGCTGGAGAGAGAGAGAGACAGAAAGTGTGAAATCACCCCCTGGGGGGATGGCCATGCTATAACCCCTTCTCCTCCATTCTCTCGGGACCTTGGGTACACACACACACATATGCCTGGAATGAGTTTTAATTTGCTGGGTCTGGGATTTGAACCACAGTTGACTACGTGGGAGTCCAGCAACGTAACCATTATGTCATCTGCTGGTCCCAAGACTCCTAGTTTCTAAATACTGTTCTCTACTAAAAAGAGCCAGTATTTCTTCTGTCAACTTCTTGTGCTGGAGTTAGGATAGTACAAGGTGAGTCTGAGATATCTTTTGACAAAAACTAAGGAAGCCCTTAAAGGAAGAGATAAACAAGCCAAAATGACACAGAAATTACTTTGAGGGCTTCCACTGGCCAGATCAGGGCAAATTCGAGTATCAAGATGTCTCATTGAACAAATCAATAAAATTCCTATTGACACAGACATGGAGTCTACTATGGTACAGACAAATACATGAATCAATAGGAAAGGAGAGAAAGCTGTTTTTCATAGAAGAATACTAATGAGCATGTGTAGAAGTAATGACCGAACAGAAAAACACCATTTGGCAACTATCACAGTAATAATCGATTCAGGCCAGAATCACCAATGGATGTTAAAATTAGTAGATGAAAAAAATGAAAAACTGTGCATAGTTTGAAAGTATCTTCCTTCAAAAATGCTTATTAATCACAAAGGGGGAAACAGGAGGTTTATGCTAGAGAAGCCTGGCAGATAGCACCCTAGCTAAGTGATGGGTTATCGTTCCCCCTAGCAATAGCACCAAGAGGCAACATGCGCTTCCTGATAAGGACACCACGGTCTTTCTCTGGCTTTCCTGCCAAAAAAGCATCACATGAAACCTAATCATGAAGAGATGGTAAACAACCCAAACCGAAGGACGTGGTAGCTGCCTCCAGGATGGTCCCTAATGATCCTACTTCCTCATGTCCCCAGCAGCATCCAGAGCCCTCCTACACTGCAAAGGGTCGGCCTGTGTAGTCAACAGGATATTCTAGAAGTGGCATCTGAGGAGAGCTCATAAAAGACACCGTGATCTCTGCTTTTCTCGTTCTGGGAAATGCTAGCTGCCCTGTCAGGAGTTCACATGACACCTGCCACACCCAGGCAGCCCCCCGGCAAGGTGCACAAGGTGAGGAAGAGAGGCCTGCAGCCAGCAGCCAGGCGAGTGGGCCATCTAAGATGTGGATCCTCCAGGCCCAGTTGAACCTTCAGATGACTAGCTCCAGCCGATGCCCTGACTACTGCCTGACCACAGGAACTGTGACATAATGTTTATTCTTGCACTGAGTCACTAAATTCAGTTTGTTACTATGTAATAGGTAACCAATTGAAAAGTCATTCTGCAAAAATAAAATAACTGTGTACTGTTCAAAAATGTCAAAGTTGGCCCAGCTGGTGGTATGGTGGTTGAACGGCTAGATCCCACAAGGCCAAATGCCTGGTTTGAATCCCAGACCCAGATGCTTGATAAACATGCCAGGCACCTGTGTGTGCCCAAAATCCCAAGAGGAGAGAGGAGGAGAAGGAAGTGCAGCTTGGCCATACCTCCTGGAGAGTGCTTTCTCGCTTCCCTTCTCTCTGTCTCTCTCTCCAGTGAGTGCACACATAACATAGCAAACCAAAAAAAAAAAAAGTTATGAAAGATGAAAAGACTGAGGACCTCTTCCAGATGAAGGAAGAAAAAAAGGACGATCAAATGCAAGACATGATCCTGGATGAGGGTGGGGGAGTGAAGGGGCGCAGGATGTGGGGGAGAATAAAAAGGTTGGTTGGTGTTGTTTTGCTATAGTAAAGCTTATTGAGATTATTATTGATCAGTAGCTTATTTATTTTTTTTTGAGAGGTTTTTGCTATAGGGCGTGTGCACTCACCAGAAAGACAGAGAGAGACAGAGAGACAGAAAGCAAGGAATCACCCCCCAGGGGGGATGGTCACGCTGCAATTCCTTCTCCTCTATTCTCCTATCGGGATCTTGGCCACCCACACACATGCACCCGGTGTAAGTTTAAGCCACCAGGTCCAGGACTCGAACCATGGTTGACTACACTGGAGTCCAGGACATACCCATTATGCTAACTGCTGGTCCCGATCAGTAGCTTATTATTTAGAGGAGGGGGTAAATGCCATTTATCTCAATGGTTCCAAAACAATAATTATATAATTTGCAAATATGTAGTCATAGATATCTATATCTATATAGGTATATATCTACATTTAAAGAGAGAAAAGAAAGAGAATGACAAAAAAATAGGGTACAATTTTAAGATTTAGAGATTATGGGTGACAAGTATATGGGGATTCTTTGTCTATTTTTGCAACACTGCTGCAGAAATTACTTAAAAGTTAAAAGAGCATAATATGTGGGCTAGCTCCTATTCCTAAATTTCCAGTCTAAGAAATTGTGGGTTGTTTTTTTTTTTTTTTCAAACTGGGGGTAGAATCCATTAATAAGGTTTAAAATGAATTGGGTGGATTCAAACCAGAATTTCTAGGAAGAGTAGACTAGGATGGCGAGCATAGCATAGAATACGAGCGTTGCCGGTTAGTAAGGCTGAGTACTGTTTTGTGGAAATTTTGTTGCAGTTCTAGAAAGAGTAAAAGACGAGATTTTTCCGTTGCTCTGTTAAAAGAAGTTGGAAAGCCACGCACCGAGGGGCGAGTCCTGAGCCAACAACTGGCTTAGTTTCCCTCGCCTCTTGCCAGGGCCGGCCCACTCCTCCCCCCTCTCTTCCACCCACAAAAACCGGAGCCTCCGCCCCCAGGCAGCCTGCAGGTGTGCGCCCAAACCCAGCACGTGGGACCAGACACTATATAAGGGTCCGCCTCTGCTTGCTCGCAGCCTGCTGGTCCGTCCAGCCCTGCCCTCCAGGAGCCGCTCTTGGGTCTCGGATCGCATCCCGCCCCTGGGGCTGTCGCCGTGGCATGGGTGCCGTGGGTCGGCTCTGTGTTTTCTTGGCTCTCGCCGCGCCAGGGGTCCTCGGTGAGCTGGGGGGGAGGGGGGATGAAGCACGGAGGTAGGGACACGCCTGGGGCAGGGAGGGATCCTGTACCGCTATGCAAAGCAGGTGGCCAAGAGCGAGAAGGTGGGAGGCTTTCCTGCCTCCCCTTCTATTTGGGGACCCCTGCAATCTTCTGGCCCTAAGTGTCTCCACTTCTCCGGGGAGCACAAGAATTAGAAGCTGAGCAACAGGGGGCACTGTCTGTGTGGAGGTAGCGCGCTCCTGGCCTGCGGTCGCTGGATCCCGCAGGTGCATCGCTCAGGGTCCTGGAGGTCTTTGAGCGCATTAGCTCACCGCGGACCCAAACCTGCCCCGACAGCAAACGCCTCCCGGCGGGCTAGGCTGGTTGAGGGGGTGTCTGCGGACTCAAG